AGGATGGGGGGATGTTGGATTTGTAGATGGATGGGTAGAGAGATGGATGTAAGGACATTGGTGAATAGATGAACGAAGAGATGGGTAGATGGACAATGATGGGTGGATCTATGGACAGAAGTGGATAGGCGGATGGGTGGGTGGAGAGACAGATGGATGGGCAGTTGGGTGGAATGTGCTGGAAGTCCTCCCACCTGGGCCCATGTCCCACTTCGCCTCCCCTGGGACAGGCTGTTAGAGGGCTCCACCTTGGGCTTGACCTTGGATGCCTCTCCCCTGACAACTCCATGTGTGGCCTGGCCCAGTGCACCTGTGCACTAAGACCCCCACGCCCTGCCACAGGCCCACGGGAGGAGAAAAGTGTGAGGTCCTCCTCCTGAACAGGGAGGGCCAACAGGGCTGGAATCCCCGCTTCTCTGACAGTGGGGGTCAGCTGTGTAGGCAGCAGGCCCAGGCCCTTTCCACAGCCCACAGCTTTTCCCGCTCCACAGATCCCCTGACCCAGCCATGATATGCTGGAGTGGTGCCCTTGCCTGGGGTTCGCTCCCCTTCCCGTAGCGGCTCGTGCCACCTAAGACAGAAAGAAGATTCATCGGTAGCTCACCTAGCTCTGTGGGGCCGGGTGGTGGAGGCCTGACTCCGGCCTGAGTCGAGGTCAGGGCAATTTCTGGACGGAAAGGGTGGAAGCAGGTGCTGTTTAAACTGTTCTGGCAGAAAGGGAGCAAAGAAAGGTCACCCCTCAGGGCTTTAACGCACTGCTTTCGAGTGTCTCTGTCCTCACAAAACCCAAGCTGTCCCTTCAGTGAGGAAGTGGGAGACCACAGACCCTGCCTGCCAGCCCCTCCTCACATGTCTTTGAGCCGAGGCCCGAGACCCCACAGGGGCTCCCTGAAACAGGGTTGCCAGACTCATTATGGGAAGCCCAGGAAGCTTGACTTTCAGAAGAGCAATGGGTCCTTCTTTCTAGCATGGGTAAACCCTGTGAAATACACTAATGCTAAGAAACAGTGTTGATCTGAACTTGAAATTTACCTGAGTGTCCTGAATTCTGCATGGCAAACCTCCTGCCATCCTTCACCAGGAGCACCTCTTTCAGAGCAGACCTAAGCCCAGCTCTGCCATAACAGCTATGGGGCAGGTCCACATCCCCAGTGCAGTTAGCACAGCAGCCATCCCATGGGGCAGACATGCGGAGGAGGAAGCAGGAGGTGCCCGGCACTGAGCTCCTCATGTATCAGCATTGTGCCCATGCCCAGACTGCCACTGTCACTCAAGACAGCCACAGCAGGAGCACACAGTACCCCCTTCACAGGGGACGCAGTCCAAGACCCCATGTATGCTATGGTTTCTCCATCTGATAATGGAGGCAGTTAAGAAACTCACGGGTAGGTAGCTCATACTCTGTGGATACACCAGGCAAAGGGGTGACTTATGTTCCTGGTTCCACAGAGTGGACAATGAGAGATGCCATCGCTAATCAGAAGACCTGCACACAATTTTAAAATGGACATGTTTTTCAAGAATTTTCCATTTTCAGAGTCCCACTGAGCACAAATAACCGAAACTGAAGAAAGTGAGGCCTAGATAAAAGGCAGCTGCTGTGCTCTGACTTTAGACCCTGCAGTGGGGCCCCAGCCATTGGTCTAGTCCTCCCCAAGGCAGGGGTAATGGAGACGGGACACAGCTCGGACTGGAATAGGACAAAGCCAGACCTGCCTTCCTACACTGACTCTGGACACGGTACAGACAGAGCGGATGGGCACTCGGAGCTGGCAGGGCTGTCTCAGACCCCAGACTGTCCTGGCCTGTGGTCTGGTTCTCCCTAGAACATCAACCCTGGCCTCTGGTATGGAGGCAGCCCAAGAAAGCTCCCCATGTCTAGCCAGGGAGGCAGCTCTGGACAGGGCCACCTTAGACTGCCCCTGGTTTGCAAGCTACATGTGGCCTCTCGGTGGGGACCAACTCATCCTCCCTAGGGTCCTTCCCGCAGGGTGGCCTGCAGTTGTTGGAACAGCTCCTGGGGTCAGTTTAGGGTCCAGTCAAGAAAAACACGGCCAAGCCCTGGCCCTAAGTAACAGACTCCAGAGGTCTCTGGATGCCTGTCACAGAACATACACAGATGTATGTCCCCAAGCACGGTCCCATGACCTGCTGGCCGTGCAGGATTCAGACACTTGTCCCAGACCGATGGTCCAGGATCTAGATACTGGTGGCAGACATGGGCCTGTGTCCCAGCCATGCTGCCAAGCCTCTCAGCTATGCTGAGCCATGGGTGCCTGGTCTTCAGAGCTGCAGTGAGGACTCACTCTGTGAGCTTGACCTGAGTGAGAACCAAGTGACAAACACAGAGGAGGAGCCAAAGCGCTGAGTGACAGCACCACTCATAGTACTACTCCACCATGCTCGGTGACAGCAGCAAGCCCCGGGTCTGGCCTTTCTTACTGGGATCCTGGTCCCAGCTGGGGCACTACTCCTGCACCCAGCACTGAGCTCACAGGTATGCGGAAGGAAGCAGAGAGAAAAGGAACACAAGTCCCCATCTCTGGAGCCCCACTGTCCTGTGAGGGAACTTCTGGAGCAGCACCCTCCAGGGGGCAAGGGCACCAGGAACCTCCATGCCCCACACCCTTCCCAGGACCCCTGCAGTCCTGGCACAGAGCTCTGGCTTCAGGGAAGCCAGGCTACACTGGCTACACTGTTCTTATTTCTTTACCATTTTGAGGTCTGATCATTTATTTATAAAAAGACAGGAGTAGGGGTAGGAAAGCATCTGACAACATGAAATCCTTCTTATTCAGACAGCTTTCCCAACCTCAGGGTTTCCATATCTTTGTCAGGATTCTTGCTGCATCATCAAGGCCTAGACTAGTGCATGGATGTTGGTGCAAACTGACTTGCTGTTTAAAACTTGAAGCACATGTGTAAAAAGATGAAATGGATCCTGAGTCACATCTGGAATGCCAGATGAAGGTTCCAGTCATACTTTTTCTTATTGCTTTATAAAACAAAGATATAAATCTATATTTTAAAAGATAGCACTTTCAGAAAGAGTACCAGCTAAATTCACCTTGCCGGTTACACCTGCTCAAGTCGGATGTGGGGGCCATCCCAGACCTCCAGCTGTGTCTCCACAAGCCCACCACTGACCCCGAGGGAGGGGCGTGAACGCTCGGGGTGCTTCTGCCTCTGGCTCAGCTCCGTGCTACCTGTCCCAACAGGAGCTCTGCCTGACTGGAGTTCCCAATGCCCCGTGCTGCTAGACGCCTCCAGAGAAGTGAAGGGCTCACCATGGGGAAATCGAGGCGGAATGGATTGGAGATGGCACATCAGCGAAGGCTGGAGTACAGGGTGCTGGGCTCTGCTCCCTGGAGTCTGGGAGGGGGGTGCTTTCCGGGCTGAGCACAGAGCTGGTGAAAAAGGCAGATGCGGATTGCTCGCCGTTCCACCAGCCCCCAGCATGCACAGGGCTGTAACTGCAGTTTCCCCGCTAACCCTCACCTCTCCAAACCCTCCCCTACCCCTCCCTCTCCCCTGTCCCCACCTGCACTAAGGACCCATGTGACCTACATCCGACCTGTTCTCCCAGGATACAGACTCCAGGAGAGCAGAGTTTTGCTCCTTTTTCTTACACTTTTCACACTGAGCCCACGTCTAGCACACAGTAGGTGCTCAGCGAATATTTTAATGATCTGCTGGGGGGAAGCGTGGCACCCTGGCCCCATACTTTGATATCCTGGGTCCCCCTGAGCTGCGGGAGACCCTGCCCACCAGGTTTGGTGGCCAAAACAAAGCGTAAAGAGACTCTGGCTTGTGCTTTCAGACTTTGGGAGCTGCAGCACGCCCAGGCGTGGGGAGTCTGGCGAGTCCCCGCAGTGCAGCGTGGGGCGGTCCAGCCCAGCCAGGGGTCCTCATCGCGAGCTGGCGAGAGGCGCGGCCGCCAGAGGGCGCCGGAGAACGGCATTGCGCGGGACTGGACCTCCACAGCGGGTGCTGGTCTTTCCCGCGGGGAACCACGCGGGTGGGACTCCGTCTCAGGCCCTGGGCACCAACTGCCGGTGGCCCGGGTGAATGGGTGAATGAGCAAGTGAATGAATGCGTCCAGGCTCACCCCACATCTGCCCGGGGCCCACTGTGGTTTGGGGAGACTCGCGGAAGACCCTGTTCCCGCCCCCGGCGGCCGGACCCCAGCCTCTCTCACCCCGCCCCGGGTCCCCAGGTGGAGCGCGAGTCCCTGCCAGCCGCCCCGGCGCAGACCTGGACGCCGGCATGCCGGGGACAGCGCTGTCCCTTCGCGCCCAGGGAGGAGCACGGCCCCTTGGTCAGGGGAGCGCTCCCGCCAGGCGGAGTCCTCTGGGCTGGGACCTCCGGGTGGCTCGTTGGGCTGGTGCACCCTTGTGTCCCGGTTAGAGACCGTGTGCAGCCTCCATGCAGGACTGACCGTGTGCGGGGCAGGACAGGGAGGAGCCGGGGTTCCACCAGGCCCCAGCCCCTGTGCCGGAGCGGACCGTGACAGCCCCGCGCACCCGGCGGGCCCCACACAGAGGCGCGAGGGTTGAGGATCCACTGGCCGGGTGATGCCCGTTTCCTGCAGCAGCGGCTCGAGCCGGCTGGAGTGGGGACACCGAGGCTCTTTAGTAGGGCCTTGGCTGAGGTCGGAGTCGCTGTGTCCGGGAAGCCAAGACGCCCTAGGTCGAGCTCCAGGGCACCCTGGCCCCGCTCGCAGCAGGGCGCTCTGGGCCCTCTCGAGTCGCTCGTCTGTGCTGGGTCCTCACCAAGTCCCCACCGTCCAGAGTCCGTACCTCGCAGCCTCGCCCGCGGCCCGGTCTCCCCACCCACGCTGGGCGCACGGACCCGAGGGATGCCCTGCCTCCTGGGCCCCACGGGGAGAGGGGGCGGGGCGGGGACGTTAGAGCCCCGGGCCGGGGGTCCGCCCCGCCTTGCCCCCGCCCCCGCCCCGCCCCGCCCCGCCCCGCGGCCTCTGCTAAAGCACTCGGCGCGCAGAGGCTGGAGCGCTCTCCTCCGCCCTCGCCGCCGTCTGTCCATCCGTCCGTCCATCTGTCCGTCCACCCGCCGGTCCCCAGCCGCCCGCGCCATGGACGCCAAGGTCGTCGCCGTGCTGGCCCTCGTGCTGGCCGCTCTCTGCCTCGGAGACGGTGAGTGCTCTACTGCCGGTGCGCCCCGGCCTGGGGGGACCCGGTCAGCCACTTGGCAGCGGCTCTCCAGGCTCTGCGCCCCGCATGGAGCGGCCGTGGCCGGCGGGCTGCAGTGGGGCCGGAAAGGGCGCTAGTCTGGAGTGTGGCGGTCCAGGAGCTGCAGGCCAAGGCCTCCCCGCTGGTACCTCTTGGTCTCCGCGGCGGCAAGGGCTCGGAGGCCTCCTGCTCAGGGCGCGGGAGGCGCACCCAGGGAGCGGAGGGGGCGCTTTGCGCCTGGTCCAGCCTAAGCAGTGCTGGCCGTGGACGGGAGACGGTGCGGTGCGGTATGGTGCGCGAGTTTCCAAGCAGAGCGAGTTCTCTCCTTCGCGGGCTAGGGGGGCCGGCGGGCGTGCAACAGCTGTCCCACTTGCTCCCTTGCCCTGCCCGCCGCGCTTCTGCACAGCTCGGTGGCGCGAAGCGACGCGGACTCGAAGCGCCCATTCACTGCCAACTTCCCTCTCCCCGGGTCCCCATTGTCAGGCCCAGAGGCCGAGGTCCCTGAGGGCCCCTCTCCTGCCCTCAAACACACCTGCAGGCCTGTGCTTTCGTGCCGGGCCAGGAGTCTCAGCAGAGTTCAATCGCCAAGGCCTTGGGCCACTGGGAACTGCGGTGTCCTTTTTCACTGGGAAAGGGCTCTGCTTTCTTTTTTTCCTTTTTGACGCTGCGAGAAAACTCGCTGTGCTGTTACAGGACACCGCTGCTGCAAACCAAAATAAAAGGTTGCTTCTGAACCCACAAAACAAAAACAGTGTAGGGCCAGCCGAGCGCTTCCTTGGCCAAGGAGTTTCCTGCAGTGGCTGAGGGACACTGAGTGCTCTCCTGCAGCTGTGGTCCCACAGCATTGCTCCAAGGATCCTAAGCTGGGTTCCTGCCTGAAAACCCTACACCTGTGTGAGTGTGGGTTGGTGCCCTCTGCTGGGCCTGGCAAGGGAGACGGTGCCACCCGTGGCTGCCCACCTGGGACATGCGCTCCAGCAGGCACCCCAGAACCCTTCTTGGCACTGAGACTGCAAGAGGTTCATGTGCCCTGACCAGGCCACCAGGATAGGCTCCAGCTGGAGGTTAATGATTGTGTGACCTGGGGAGGGTGCAGTCTCTCCTGCACCTCTGCAGAGCCCATGCTGCCCTCTTCCTGGGTACTGCAAGGAGACAGCAGTATGCAGCCCACCTGGGGGAGGCTCAGAGGAAGTGGGGTGAGGGATCTGAGCCCTGGCAGGGGAGTCGCCCCCTCAGCAGCCTAAGCAGGTCCTTTCCTACATGAAGGTCTAGGACGAATTTCCTTTTTCTTTACCTCCTTCACAGGTGTCCTCTGTGCCACTCAGCTGCAAGAGAGGTCTCTCCAGGGCCCCTGTGGTCTTCCTGGGTCCAGCAACAGGATCTGGGCACCCTGGACACCCCACTAAGCCTTCCTGGGCCCACTCCCACCTGCATGCCATCAGGACTCCTGTCCTCTGTACGGAGCCAGCTGCTCTGAAAAATGCTCTGGGAGCCAAACTCACTGGGTCCCAAATCCGGGCAACAGGGGAGCCCCAACCGACTCTTGCCTTACTCAGAAATCGCTGGAAAAGTTAGTAAAGTGCACAGAAAGCTGGAGGAAAGGAGGGAGTGCACACAGCACTGGGCTCCCTCTGGGAACACCTAGAGTCTCTGTTACTTTAAAGACCTGTTGAAACCCCCCTTGCTGTGGGCTGGGGTCCTGGGAGCAGGAATAAGAATTGCCTTTGAAGGAAATGGATAATCCCAGGGGGCAGGGGGAGGAGAGAAAGAAAGCCTGTGTTTTGAGCTCCTAAAGGCTCTGATTTCTGGCCTGATCTCCAATGCTGGTTAGAATGGCTGGATTACTGGGGACTGGGAGAGAGCAGCCCCAGCCACCAGGGTGCCACTGCAGCACTGCAACTGGCCCATGTTCCTCTTGCTAGTCCTGCCTGGCCATGGCTATAGCTCTCCTGCCCCCATCCAGGATCAAGGGCAATTCAGGGAACTGAGGCACGGCCCTGAGAGGGAGCCTTTGGCTGCGGGGTTACCCAGGCTGCTGAGTCCTTGTTCTGGACCGCTTCCCCTGGTGATTGCTTCTGGGGCAGTACTGAGGTCCAGGTGGGGCTGTGCAGCTGCTGGAAGCACCCCATAATGATTTTCTGCCCCTCGATGCCAGGCTCTCCTATGGCGACTGGGAGTCCTGGCTCGCTCCTGGTCTGGGCGGTGGGGTGTGACTCTCTCAAAACTTGGTGGCTAAATATGTATCCTCGGGCACTGAATGTGGCCTGCAGAGAAAATGCAACTGCCTCCCAAGCCCCTCCCTAGATCCACTGCAGGTGTGGGACTGGGAAAGCCCAGGAAGGCTGGAAGTGGTATATGAAAACAAGTCTCCAGGCCTCAATATTCTCATTCTAGCTCCAGTGACAGGATCCACAGAATCAAATACTTTGGGGTATTAAGTAAGGCTTGCACAAAATCTGCACAGAGAAATTCAAAAAACAAAATAAAACCCCAGAACGCTCAGCCCCCCAGGGCTTGCAATTTTAGACTTAAAGGGTGAGTCTTAAAGGGATGAAGGAGCCCCTTGCTAATCTACACTAATGAGTGTCAATTATGGCATTTTACAAATTGTGGAATTGGCAAACAGAGATGGTAATAGGATCCAGGGGACCACAGCACCCCATCCCCCAGCACCCCAAGCCACTTTGGAGTTCACAGCAGGAAGGCTGCAGAGAAGGTGCCCTGCTCCTCTGGTCTCCTGGTGGGAGCTCCTGGGACTCCTTTGTGGTTTCCAGGCTTGAGGTGAAGGTGAGGTGGGGGTTTAGGGTGGGGGAGGGCAGCGTCCCAGAGCTGAGGCTCCTGGCAGAAGAGAGGGAGCCTCCTGCCTCCTCCTTCCTGTCCCCTCCATGGTACAGGGGTCTCACAGAGGCTTTGCAGGAGTTTATTTTGCAAAGAAAACCTGGGAGCCTCAGGGCCTTGGACAGAAACCCTTCCCTCCTGTCATTCCTGCCTTTGTCTGCAGACACCTGGGAAGCCGGCTTTCATTCTAACATTCTCACCTCTAGGGTGGGTCCGGCACCTCCAGGTCCTTGTGCCCAACTCAAACTCACAGAGCTGCCCCTGGAGCTGTCCTAGTAAGATGCATCTGTGACATTAGTCCATCCCCTGGTCCTGCCATCCTACCACCCCACACCTCACCGGGACCCCCAGTGCAGACTGGCAGGGTGACACATGGCCTCACCCCCTGATCTCTTCTAGGGAAACCTGTCAGCCTGAGCTACAGATGTCCCTGCCGCTTCTTTGAGAGCCACGTGGCCAGAGCCAATGTCAAGCACCTCAAAATCCTCAACACTCCGAACTGCGCCCTTCAGATTGTGTGAGTATCGAGCTGTGCCCAGCGGACTGTGCTATCTCGGGACGCAGTGGAGAAGGGGCAGAGCCTTGGCTGCAGCCGAGAACCTGGCCCTGCTGGTGGCAGCTGCCATTGCCATGAGGATCCAGAGTGTGCCCCGGAAATGAGTGTCGAAAGCCTCCTGCTGGGTTTACAGTGGTCCTGGTCCCTGTAGACCCAGCACAGCTGGCTGCCCCTAGGCCAAAGACACCATGAGCTTCATTCACCGGGGCTCTGGCTGAATCCCTGTGCTGGCCACAGCTGTATCTGCCCTGTCACCTCGGGGTCCAAACCTGTTCCTTTCTCGTTGCCAGAGAGCACACATTCAATTCACTTGAAGTCATCTTTTGCCGTTTGGTGAAGGCTCACACCTTGCAGCTCACTTTAACCGTACAGTTATGCTTGCTCTCACGTGCAGCTTAATGAGTTTTTGCTTTTGCTTGGTGTTGAGGGCAGCTGCCAATGTTTTATTTTACTCATTTGGAAAACAAGAAAAGCCCAGATCACACAAGCACAAAGGACGGGACGGAGATCTTGCCTGCATGCACAGGGTGGGGCAGAGGCAGGGAGAGGGGACTCCAAGGCACTCCCTGGGATGCTGCCAGGAGCCCTGAGGGGAGGGCCAGCACTTTAGGAGGGTCCTTGTATCAAAAGTCCTAGAGCTAAAAATGGGGTGAGGGTACAGGGTGAAGAAAGTCTGCCCCTTCCCAGGACTTTTCTACCCTTTCACCTTTTTGAGGTCTGGATTTTTCCTCATTCCTTTTACCCTCTGCACTTTGAATGTTTGTCATTTACAGTATGTCATGGGGCCCTAGAAAATGGTGTGTTTTTTTTCCTGATACTGGGAATTGAACCCAGAGCCTTCTCACTGAGCTACATCCCAGCCCCTTTTTAAATTTTCACTTATCGACAGGGTCTCACTAAGTCCCTGAGTTGCCCAGGCTAGGCTTGAACTTGTTATCCTCCTGCCTCAGCCCACTAGAGGCTACGATGGGATGGCTGTTTGTGCGGCACATCCAGGAAGACACTCTGTCTGCTGGGAAGGGTGTTTGGAAAGTGCTGTGTGTAGCCAGTGTGGACCTACTGTGCAGCGCAGATGTGCCTGCTCACTTCCTGGGGTCCATCCTGAAGTTGGGAGGGGCCAGTACAGATCTCAGAACTGGGCGAACCCTAAATCAAACACACAGCTATGCCCAGATCTGTACCCCACGCGCCTGCACATGGTCCTTGGAGCCAGCAGTTACCCAAGGACTCTCCTAGCTGTGCCCAGGCCACTGCACTGGGGCTCAGCTGGCCTCGAGGCTCTGCCAGTCTGGGCAGGGAGTCCTGGCTATCTGGGGGGCACCGCACCTGGGAAAGTCTCCCCCTTTCCCCCTTCACCAGCCACTGTCCCTGAGCTGTCCCTCCCCTCCTGGCTCTGTCCCTCCCCAGAGCAGCTCGGCAGTCCCTCTAGACTCACCCTCTAGTTCGCCCTGCGTGCTGCCAAAGTGCCCCATTAAGATAAGGCCAGTGCTTTGTCTCCAGGGCCCCCCACCTGAAGCCCCCACCCTTTGCCCTTATATCCCCTGTTTGTCCTGACCCACCAGTGGGCTCCCACTTGGCCTTCCCTTCTGCTTTTTCTGGGTTGTTTTGTTTGGTACCGGGGATTGAACTAGGGAACTTGTGCCTGCGAGGCAGGCAATGGAACCACTGAGCTAAATCCCCAGACCCAAAAATACTTATGTCTTGGAATCTTTTTTTTTTTTTCCGGTACCGGGGATTGAACTTGGGACCTTGTGCTTACGAGGCAGGCAGTGGCACCACTGAGCTAAATCCCCGGCCCTCCCTTCTGCTTTTTCACTTGCCAACTCCTACTGAGCCTTCGAAGGCTTACTCAAGTGTTTCCAGGCTGCCTGCTCCCTGGCTGGAGTTAGTGCGTCTTGGCCCTGTCTGTGGGCCGGAGCACACCACAGACCTGGCTTGCATCCCCCCAGCTCACCCTGAGTCCCTCTAGAACCCAGGCATCCTCTGTGTTTCTGCAGCGCCAGGCTGAAGAGCAACAACAGGCAGGTGTGCATCGACCCGAAGCTGAAGTGGATCCAGGAGTACCTGGAGAAGGCTTTAAACAAGTAAGCGTGCGTGGTGGCTGAGGCGGACTGTCCACTGGCCCCGCCGGGAAGGCTGACTCCAGGGATGGAGGGCGGAGCTGGGAGGAGGCCCGCCAGGCTGCTGGGTTACCAGCTGCAGACTCCGCACGCACGCACAGCCACGGCACCCACCGTATTCAGCCTGCATCCACCGTGCCCGACCCCGCACCTAGGAGCCTTTGTGCCTGGGGTTTTCTGAGCCGGGCAGCCCCTCGTGATCATCAGCCTCACCTTCATCCTCATGATCATATCTTAAACCAACGATAACTTCGAGACCTGTACTTGGCTCCTTTCCTTCTCGGGGGAGTATCCCTCCCCACCCTGGGGCCTCAGGGGAAAGCAGCTTCTTCACAGGGAGCTCTAGAAAGTGTCCTTAATGGTGGTGGGGGCTCTTGCTGGGCGTCCTTCCAGGTGACCTCTGTGTGACCATGAACCCACAGGGCTGGGCCACCACTGCCCTTAGCCCTCTCCGGGTCAGGGATCTGAGTGATGGGTCTGGGCTCCGTCAGAAGCTGCTATCCCAGGGCTGTGCCCCAGGCCTTGGCCTTCCTTCCTCCCTGCTCCAGCAGCATGCTTCTGACTTCTGCCTCTCCTCTAGCCTGTCTGAGCCACCCTCCCTCTGCTCCAGCCTTCCCACAGGGTCCTCTGTGAGACCCCCTCGGGCCTCCTCCAGAATGGAGCCAGCCCCTCCTGGAGGAGGTATGATCACTCTGTACTTTCCCACAAGACTGCAGAAATTTAATAAATGCAGCTTTCGGAGGAGTCAGGTTTCCTGGTTCTCCGAAGCCCGAGCATCCGTGGGGCTCTGCAGACTGGGCCTTCTGAAATCAGAAGCACAGGATGCACAGCAGACCGCATCCTGCCCCAGCCCACCGGAAGCCACATGGGCTCTCAGGCTCCAATCAGAAACATGGGCAGAGGGAACCTCCATGCATAAATGCAATTCACAGATGGCCCTGGTGGTATTTGTAACTTTGGCAAGGCATTTTTATATATATTTTTGTGCACATTTTTTTTTACATTTTGTTTCTTTAGACTACAAGTGTACTGCAGAATACATTTGTAGTGAAACAATTCATACATTTGAAGTGGAGCCATATGAATGTCAGTAGCACCCTTTCCTTAGACTCTAAAGCTACTGGCAGTAGGTACAGAAATATATGACATAGAAATGTGATCAATCGCAGCTTCTGAATGTTAGCCGCAGTATTTTTTCACTTGTATTAAATTGTATCATGTGACATGATATACACTAGCAATAAAACGCTACCGTTCTCCTGGTATAAACTCCTACTGAACATGGGGATTGATTTATTTATCAGTGCTTAGAGCCGAACACAGACTTTTCTGGAGATTGTGAGTCAAGCAGCCCGCTGGTCAGGTGCGTGGACCCTGCAAGGGGGTCCACGCCGAGTGACAGCCCACAGGCCCTTCTCAGGTACAGATTAAATCTGCAGCTCAAGTTTTCGAATCTGTCTTTTTTAATCCAATGGAAATAGAAGGCCAGTTTTCTGACAAATAATATTTGACTCACTAATCGGTCTTCCTCCCTCCTCCTCCTTGGTCCTCCTAACAAACTCATGTAATCCTGAGACTCGATCCCAGTAATATCAAGCTTCCCATTGTCCCACGTAAAACTCCCATGACTACCAGCTAGGGTTAATGTTGGGCTTTCCCGGGAACAGGTGGCCTTACCCATAAATCATTAAACACCATTCGCCTCGAGTTGCCCTAATGACAGTCACGAGCCAGTTGCCCTCATGGAACTCCGCTAACCAGTGCTGTCCCTCGCTCCAGACAACCTTGGTGGTACCCGGAGAGGGCATAATGTGTCGGGCTGCCTTCCTCCTCCCTCCGCCGGATGGCGTCTGCACCCCAGGCCTCTACCCCCTAGAGTATTACTGCATTGAAAACACAGAGAACGTTTAAGAGAAAAGCAGAAAGGGCTCAGCTCTGAGTAGAAAAGGGAGGAGGCCTGGTAAGAGCAGATGGGTGGATGGAGACCAGGCCACCCCGTGTGGGTTCCCATCCCCAGAGGATCTCAGGGTAGAGGGAGCCAGGGTGGGCTTGGCTAAGGGGCTCCTGGCCCTAGACGGTGTCCACCGCTCGTCTGTGTGGGGAAGGCCTGGCTGGTCCAGAGCCTCCAGGCCCTTTGCTGAGGCTGAGGACGCAGCAACCTATGGCCACCCTGGGTGTATGCAGACTGAGGAAGCTCCCGTGTGTTTCAACGCAATTAATGGTTCTACTGATTCTATCTAAGGGGGCGCAGAGAAGAAAAAGTGGGGAAAAAAGAAAAGATAGGAAAAAAGAAGCGACAGAAGAAGAGAAAGGCTGCCCAGAAAAGAAAAAACTAGTTATCTGCCACCTGGATGGACCACAGTGCTCCCTGCTCACTCACTCTCGGCGCTTTATAAACCCGCTGTCCCTGGCTTGGTGACTGCACGCCCGGCCGCACTCCACCGCCATTTCTGTGCTCCTTGAGGCCCTGCTGGCTCGAGTAATGAAGACAGTAGTTGTTCAGAGACTGAGTGCTCAGGACCCTCCTAGATGACAGGGCCCTCCTAGCCCGGGCCACACAGTGCTATGCACTGGGTTCCTTGTGCCCACGGGGGCCCAGGGTGCCACCTGGCCAGAGCCTACAGCCCACCAGCCCAGAGAGGTACCTCGTGCCTCTGTCTGTTGCCCCAGCTGCACTGTCCTTGTGGCCTTCTCAGGACAGGCCATGGCCCACTTGCCCCTGAGGCCTGGCCCCCCTACCCTGCCTCCCTGGGCCCCTGCTCCCCACTGGGCTGGGCAGAGGCCTTGGCTGCAAAGTTTGGGGGTTGTGCGGTGGCGTGGGGAGCACAGGGCAGAGATGTAGACATAGATGTTTTCCAGGGAGCCTTTTCTTTGCGTGTTATCTCCGGAGTCGTGGAATGGGTCCCCACCTCAGGGACAGATGTGTGTGGAGCCCTGTGCCTGCAGCTTCAGGGAGTCCCCTCCCCATGCTGGGAAGGGCTCCAGGACAGTCAGTCCCCACCCGAGGGAAACATCTGCCTGCACGGCACTGAGTCTGCTTTAGTTCTAGAACGTTCCTCCCCTGCCACCGGCTGATGTCTGAAGGTTTGGCCAAATCTTATTTGGATGGTTGGATGGGCCTGTGGGAGGCGGCAAGACCAAAGTCATGAAAATGGACACCTCAATTCTTTAACCCTTGTCCACTTCCACCAGTACCTGGCCCCACCCACCAGGGGTCCTGCTTCCGTTAACTCACGTGGGACCCTCCTGGGCCCCTGGGGGCTGGGTCCCTAGGCCTGAATGAGCTCCCTGCGGGTCTAGCATGCAGAACACACAGCTGTCCACTTCTGTCCGGGACACCATAACAGCAAGGCCCCTGTGTGGCCACTACCCCTACTGCCGGGTCAGCCTTCCCAGCACTGTCACTCTTGGCTGTTCTGGGGACAGCAGGCCCTCACCTCTGGGTACATAGATGCCTGCCCTGCCCCCTCCCCACCCTAGGCATCTTTCTGCAGAACCCAGCCATTCCCCTCCGGGGACCTCTCAGGGAAGCCCTGCTCTTACTGTGCCCTCCAGTGCCACCCTACCTGGGGAGCTGCTGCAGGGCAGGAACAAGTGGGTTCCCTTAGCCTCTCCATTTTGGGAGAGGCTTATGAAGTCCCCCAGGGCCATAACCAGAGGCTGAAGACCTTCACCTCCAAAGAGCAGAAGACTGCCTGGATCCTGCAGGGGGGAGACTAGAAGTCCAGTCACAGCCAGGTGAGGGGTATGGGCCACTGTGTGCCATCTGCCCTGAGCCTCCCAGGAGATCCCTGGCCACCTCTGGCTCCTGGAGGCCTCTGTAGCGGCTTGGCATCAGCCAAGAGATCCCAAGGATGGAAGTGGGGCTGATGGAAGTCAGAAGTGCCTCTTCTCTACACCTCAAGTCTGCAGTTCCCTGGGGTCCATCCTGGCTGGAATGGACTTGTGGCCTCAGCGTGAGGCCGTGGGCACCCTGTCCTGTGTCCATGTGCCCTGCCTTGTGCCGCTAGGCATCTGTCTGCTGTCCTGCCATTTCCAGTCCTCCCTATCCCGCTTTGGCTTGCTTGTCCTCCCTGCCTCCTGCCCACCTGGCCCCACAGGGAGACAGGTGTCCAGTCTGTGAGTGATGCTGGGCTGTGGCTTCTGTGTGCCCCAGGCCTTGGAACCCCCTTAATGGTGTCCCCTCTGTTCTGTTAACAGGAGGTTCAAGATGTGAGAGGCGGTGAGACGCCTGCGAACCTTACAGGAGCCCAGGCCTGCAGTCAGTGCTAGGGAGGGGCCGGTGCCCTGCTCTCAGGCAGGGCCGGACACAAGGCCAAGGGCTTCCTTTGCACAGCTCCCCTTCCCTCGCCATTAATTATGTAGCAGAACTCGTGGTGTTTATTTCTCATTTAGTTTGATTAGCCAGTGTTACCGTGGCTTGAGCTAAGGCCATTATGTTATCTGCTTTATTATAATATCTTTCCTGTATCCTAGGCGAGGTGGGAGGCTTCCCTTGTCCCAGAGGGACCAGGTGTGCCTCCTCCCCCAGAGAGTGAACAGCAGGGCTCCCCCAGGCTGAGCAGGCCAGGCCAGGGCAGAGACCCCTTTCCTGCTGCTCCCTCTACCCATTGCTGCGCTCCTCATTCTGTGTCTCACCCATCCATCGTCCTGTGTCTCACCCATCCATCGTCCTGTGTCTCAAGATTGTCTCCATCATGCTGGAAAGGACGCTCTTCAGACAAAAGCTTTCATTCTGACTTGGCACCAACGGGGAAGCAAGAGTACCCATGAAACACTGTACGCACCTGCCTCGTCTGGAGCACTGTCACCTTCTACTTCTGTGTCTGCTCACGGCCAGTGTCCTCCCTGCCTGTGACCCCTGTCTTGGTGCACACACTTCCCCCTCCTGGTGTGCAAAGGCTGAGCATGGGAAGATGCTCTCAGGCCTCTTCGAGGCTCCCAGTGTGAGCTGCAGCCAACTGGAGCAGCCTCAGTGTCCCCATGGGACCAGCAAATGGAGCCCGAGGGAATGCAGGCCACAGCAGCACTGACCCCAGCACTGCTGACCCAAGATGCTGCTGCAGCTGCTGCTGTCTGGACTGCAGAGTTCTGGCTCAGCATTGTTTGGGGAGTCACAAGAATTTTCCACCTTTGTATTATTATTTTCAGGACACAACCCGTAACAATCAATCCCAGAGTGAAGACTCCTCCCCTGTTAATATCTGACCTCACCCCCAGCAGGGCTGTCTTTCCTTACACCCAGGGTCCAGTGTCCAGCAAAGCAGGCATTCTTCCAGGAAAGGGTTAGAAGTCCCTGGATTCGAAGTATTGCCCTCTGACCCCGAGCAACCTGTATGTGAGGCTCCTTAACACTGCGGGCTTGCAGGGCTTCTGTCTCCTTTCCCTGCAGTCATCTCCCCAGGCCTAATGGAGACACCAGTGAGTATCATTAAATGAAGAAGAGGCCGAAAGGAAGAGCAATCCTGAGTCAGGGTATTTGCGATTTTATCATTTGTTGTCAGTAATACCGCTCAGGCCTCACCATAAATTGATGCTTCAGAGCAGAATGCAAATCCACCCACCAAAAGTTTCCTCTAACTTCAACAATTGAAATTCTCAAACCAGCCAAGTTAAATTGGATAAAAAAGGGGTCAGGGGAGATTTATTAGATCCCAGCATTACAACTAATTTCAAAACCGCCTTTTGAAATTGACCCAAAACTACAGTACTTCTAAGTTATCCATAGAACGACCAAACTTGTGGATGGCCACTTTCCAGGTAATCCAAGGTGTTTAAACCCCTCTGAACATTCAGAGCCTCTTCCCTTGGAACCCAAGGCCCAGGACCATCCAGTCAAACCTCCTGCTCCCAGGAGCAAGCTGAGCTCTATATAACTGCAGTGAAGCAGTCACCTCTGTGTCTCCTCCCCAGGCAGGGGAGCAGGGGCACATTTGTGTGACAATTCTCCCCAGAGGATTTGCCCCTGCATGGAGACTGACTGGCTGAGGCAAATCCGCATTTCAATAGTCTATTTGCAAAGGAAAAGTGTCCCCACCCTAATCCCTTTGCTTTAGAGTCAAGTGCACCAGGGAGCTGTGACTGGGGACACGGCTGCCCCCACATTCCCTGGCCTCTGTGACCCATGCTTCTCAGCTGCCAGCCTTTGCACCAGATGGGAAGGGGCTGGGGCCATGAGTGTGTTGTGTGTAGGTGTCCGGATCTTTGCCTTGTGTCTTTTGCACCATTGTCTGTCCTCCTCTGCCAGCCACTGAGACACCAGAGAGGGTGTATCCACCCTGGGAGAGGAAGGAAGCTCAGCCCTGAAGAGCACAGGTAGTCTGTGTGTCCAGGTCCAGAGACCTGAGCCCCCTCCCGAAGGACCCCATCTGCCCCTCCACGGTGATTCTTGTCTCTGCATTTTCACCTGTTAGGGGCTTCAGATGTGGGAACTGACACCTTTCCCGGGGTTGGGCCCCTGATTCCTTAAGCAGTTTCCCTGATCATTCTGAAGAAAGCCCATCCCAGAAATGTTCCCCCAAATCTCCAGATCCCCCAGGCTGGCCATGGCGCTGCTGGGTCTCGGTTTGTAGCCTCATTGGGCTCTTGGTGGCTGAGCAGGGCTGGGCTCCGTGTTCAATGTAACAAATACTGTATCTGTGTTGTCAGTCACACCTCCCGATAATGTGAAGCCGGTCCAGGAGAAGGCGTCCCTTGCAAATGTGTGCTTTAAAAACTAAGTAACAAGTCTTTGAGAAGCAGCAATTTCTACTTTGAAGTCATATCAGTTCGAAAGATGTCTGTGCACTTAACATTTTCCTAATAAAAATCTGTATTCTGATGGAACCTCGGGTCTGAAATAAATGTGGCAGTTTTCCAGCCTCAGTTTGCCCCTCCAAGCCAAGCCCCCGGCTGCTGTGATCATGTCACAGGGGCTGGCAGACATCAGAAGGATGAGTGCCACAGCAATTAATTCAGTAGGGCCACCTGGGAAGAATGGGGATCGGCACCCTAAACTGGGCTCCGGGGTTACACCAGATGAGCTGGTAGGCCGGGCTGTGGTTGGGAGGATCTTACCTCAGGTCTACTTCTGCAGGCCACTGGCACCAGGGAACAGGGCCGCTTGGGGTGACCAGAGCCCATCTGAGGCCCTCTCATCACCAGGCTCTGTTCTACAGTTTGAGGAAGTTGGGCAGAAGTGGGGCGAGAGCAGCCAGAGAAGCACTGTGGAGTTGGTTGGACAATGGCCCCCAGTTTTAAAGGAACCCTGCTCAGATGGCTCAGAGCCCTTGTGGCTGGCTGCCCCTTCAGAGTGGCTTCCAGAAGAGCCGAGCCACAGCCCCTGTGTCCCACCCTCCCACCTCCACTTAGCAGCAGTGGCTGGACGCCAGACCCTGCTTGTGGCTGAGGAGTCTGTGGTGCATGGGACCCAGCTCTTCCCTGATCCCGTGGGGCCTGATACAAGATGGAGCACTTTAACAAGTGTGGGGTATCGGACATCAGGGGATCCAAGGTCCCTAAAAATGTGCCCTGGAAATGGGGCTTGAGAGGAGTTGGCTCTCTCAGGGCCGGTGCAAGAGCCAGGGTGGGGGTAGCCTCAGTGTGTGAGAGACCGGGGTTTTCACCCCAGAGCCCACCAGTGGGGGAGGTAGGGCCGGGAGGATGAAGTGGGTGGGCTCTGGCCCCCAGCAGTCCCTCCCACCAGGCAAACACTACACACAGCTGCTGGGCTGAGTCAGCCCTGGCTGACGGGAAGTATGGCCCAGTTTAGTTCTGTGCCAGGAGCACAGAGCCATAACCCAGACAGCACTGGGTCTGCTCCTGACCCTCCATCCACATGGAAGCCCTGGTCCTGAGGACTGAGGTCAGCGGGAACACAGAGAAAACCACATTTTGGAGACCCCGAAGTGGGAATGTAAGGCTCAGGAGCCCCAGGCTGATTCTGGGAGATGTAGTTCTTAAGAGCTCTCAGTCCCATACCCTGGCTGCCATAGGCTCCAGATAAATTCCACTGAAGCCAAGAATGAAGGTTTCTGCTCTGACCTCAGGTAACCAGAGAGCAGGTGAGAGGCGCTGGGGAGAAGGCCCAGGTTGGGAGGCTGGTGCCCACAGGGCAACCGACAGAGACCCCAGCCCTCTCCTTGGCTCAGCCTGAGCTCTGCTATGGTTCATATCTAGATGTCCCCCCCAAAGCCTCATGTGCTTGTAGGGGGGGATTTGGAAGGTGACTGGGTCACAGAGTGTGACACTCACTGGTGGAGTGGTCCACTGATGTGTCTATAGCTAACGGTGAGCTTGGGAGGTGAAGCCTGGAAGCGGAAGTGGGGCACAGGGGGCATGACCTCGAAGGGTCTCTCTCCCTCATCTTCCCTCCATCTCTCTGCTCCCTGCCACCATGCCTTGAGCTGTTCTTCCTCTGCTAGGCCCCTCTGCCATGCTGCCCTGCCAGCCACCTGCCAGCCAGACCCCAGGGCCCACGCCAAGAGGGCCAGGCTCTGGGGACCTGGAGCTCCCAGCAGAGCCTATGCCTTCCACCCCAGTGCCTGCTGGAAGCCTGAGTCCTGGGAAGGCAGTGTGGGCATCTGGTCACTGGACAGTAGAGCTGATGTCCTCAGACTGGACTGAGGATGAGCGGGAGCCACTGGGCAGCCCTGTCCACACTTGATGCTGTCACCAGGCTCGGGGCTCTTCGACTTCTCAGGGTAAGAGGATCGCTCCTTGGCCTGTAGACCATACAGATGGGGCCACAGTGTGCACGAGGCCCACCCTCCTGTTGCTTCCAGGGAAGGAAGGGGTGGTGTGCAGGAAAGAGGTGCTCATGGCTGTGGCTGAGTGGGAGGCTTGGGCTCCTCACAAGCAGGGTTCACTCCTTCCACACTTGACTGTGTCTCCCCCTCTCCCCCTTGCTCCCAGTTGGCGTCCAGCTTCTGTAACACAGAATGAAAGGGAGGGGTCTATAGGAACTCCACCCCATGTCCACCAGTGTGTCCAGCCCATGGCCACCACTGTCCTTGCTGTCACCTGTGTGGAGCCCAGTGCTGCTCTGAGTCTCCTGTGTCTGACACTTCCCCAGGTCCCAGGACATGCCCGCTTAACCTGGGAGTCCAGGTTAAGGTGTCTGCTCCTTCCCCAGAGACCCTGCTCCCCGGCTGCCCTACCCAGTGCCCTGGCACAGTGCCCTGCAAAACACCATGAGCCACCCTGGCTCAGGCCCCAGTCACTCTGGGCTTCACAGCTGATAACCACATGGGGACTGGTGACACCCTAGCCAGTGCAGGTACCAGGCCCAGTGATGGGGGCAGTGCAGGGCTGGGAGTCCAGGAGTGCCCTGCAGGGGCGGGGGGCACACCAAGCTGGACAGAGCAAGCAGCACCTGGCAGCCCTCTCTGGGTCCTTCCATACCATTTGTGGATGCAGAGTGGGCCTTCAGAGAGAGGACCACCGGGCTCGAAGCAGAGCCCACCCCATGAGTTTGCCGGCCTCCTGTCCAGGGCCAGTGTGCTTGCCCACCAGGCACTGCAGCATGGCCCATCAGGTGCTCTCAGACAGCCCGGGAGCCAGGGTGGCCACCCCCAGGGGACAGAAGAGACAGGGCCAGATTCAGAAGCAGTTGCTGGCCAAGCGTGGAGCTACAGCCAGAGAAGCAGCTGGGAGGAAACAAGGTCGCTCCGTGAGTCCGAAGCGCTCAGACACAGCGCCGCTGACCTTGCCCTCCCCTCTTCCCTACAGGCCCCGTGGGGCCATGGACCCCGTCACCTGGGCTTGCGGCTGTGAGTGGACAGCCGTTCTGGGCATTCCCGAGCCCGGGCACCGGCCGTCCTTCAGCCCACTACAGGCATTCTAGTGTAGCGCCGGCTCCAGCCAGGTCCAGCTCTTTCCGGTTCCTCCTGGAAAGCTCCTGCCCAGGGGCCCAGGTGAACTGGAGGCCACCACATTCACATAAGCCTCATGACCAGGCTCCCTGGGAGAAAGGGACACCTGGCCAGTGCTTTCCTCAGGCTGGTGTTTCCGGGGCAGCCAAGCCCACACAGCGCTTCTGCTGCTCCTTCTTATCAGACACCTGCTCAATCTGAGTGACAGACAGGGAGACCAGATACCAACAGCCCAAACAGCCTCTCCTTGCCACCCGCACAGCAGCGCCTCAGGCAGGGCTGGGACCGCGGACTGTGCTGCACACTCTGAGGATACTGCCGGCTTCAGATGAGAGTGAGTTTAAGGGAAATGCAGGCTGACTCGATTGCATACACACCAGAAGCAGCAGTTCGAAACAGTGAAAGAGCACCAGGGAGAAAACAAAGAATAGAATGGAATGTGTGTGCCTGTGTGCACATGTGTGTGAATGTGGGCCTGTGTGCGCGGTGTGTACGTGATGGTATAAAGGCAACGCTTAGTCTCAGTTGTGTCAGAACAGCTCTCACTTTAGTGCTCACACCCGAGGCAAGCCTCCTGTCCTTCCTCCAGGGAAGGGAAGAACAAATGGGCAGATGATAACACCTGATTCACTGAGTGTGAGAAGAGCCAGGAGAGAGGACTCACCTTCCTAACAGCAGGATGCATCGTTCAGCTCAGCTGTGCATCTCATAGCTACAGTGCCCTCCCTTAAAGAGCTGTAGACACCGATGAAGCGGTGACCAGGCATCACCACAATACCACCAATCACGGGTACAGACAAGAGCTGTGCTCCACTTGGCCTGGTGTCACTCACACAGTGGCAGTTCAGAGGCCCAAGCCCTTGTCCCGGACTCATTCCGGGCTTTGCTGGGAACGTGGTTAGGCTCATCATGGGAAGAGTGCGGTCCTCATTTTGCACCTCCAGAACAAGGAAACCGCAGCCCCCTGCAGAAGCCATGACGCTGTCTCCAGTCCTCCTGACTCCTCCAGTGTGGCAAGGCCAGGATCCCTCAGGAGCGCTCACAGGACCCAGGATGCTGTGGAGGCCCCCAAGCATGGAGAGATGATGGGTCCCCGATGTCTGCATCAAACTGTCAGAGGAAACGAGTTTGTGGGTCACTGACCCCATGCTTGGGGAGGTGAGGATCCTGCCCCCCAACTCCCCTGCCCCCGCCCTTTTCCTCCTGAAAACCTGGACCAGCCCTGGGCCCCCAGACCTCCTCTCCTCTCTGCTTCCAAACCTAGGACTGCCTCTCGGGCATCAGAATCTCAGCCTGGCCTTCTCCCCTTCCCTTGAAGCCAGAAACAAGACAAGGAGGCAGAAGGAAGGGAGACTGGAGTCCACAGGCTTGCAAGGAATGCAGGACATGGGTCAGTGTATACTCTTCAAACTGCCCAGGAGCCTTGGAGGGTGCCCAGCCCTGGGCTCCTCATCCTTGGCCTTGGCACAAGGAGAGGGGACAGCCCCTCCCTGTTGGGGCCAGGGGAGGACCTGGCACAGGTAGGACACCAACCGGCTGGTCCTCATGTGTCTGTGTGCCAGGTACCTGGCATAGGCTGGCCCTGCACGGGAGATGGTACTTCTGTTCTACTGATAGGAAAATGGCCAAATGAGGCACGTTCCTAAGTCACATGTAGGAGCAGTGGGACCCTGACTGCACAGAGCATCACCAGTCAACTGCTTCCTGTGTGTCCAAGACACAGGCCCCAGGATCCTGAGGACGTCGTGTGGGAAGGGCTCTGGGGACAGGACAGTTCGCCTTGAGCCAAGAGGGCACTGGGTATGGGGTGACAGGACTCGAGCTCTCTGAGGCCTGACACACAGATGAGTGCTTGTGGTGTGGGTGTGCTGACACATTGCTTGGGTCAGGAGTTGCAAGCAGCTGCAGTGACAGAAATGGGTGAGGAACTGGAAGAAGAAAGGGTTAGGCCCTTCTGTGAAAAAGGAAGGAGCC